TCATGACATTGAGCCCTGAGTTGGCTCTGAGCTCAGCATGGAATCCACTAGTTCCTCTCCCTCTGCTCCTCCCCCTACTTGCTCTCTCTCAAATAAATAAATAAATAAATAAATAAATAAATAAATAAATAAAATCTTAAAAAATAAATAGTTTTCTAATTCTACTTCTTCCATAACTGCACCTTACCTATCCAGTTCCTTTTACTATTGGTAGTACTTGGTTATGAAGACATGTAATTCTAAGACTCTAGACAAGATGTCATTTGCTTAAACTGAATCAGAAAATGGAAGAGCAGAGATACCAGAAACATCATACAATATATAGAAAGTAATATAATTTTGGAAGTGGGGTATGAGGCATGGAGCATTTAATATTCTACTTCTACATTTGCTATTTCAGAATGACTCAGTTGCTATATTTCATTCATTGCAAAGTGCACATTTTTTCATATTTAACATCTCAAAATCTGGATAAGATTTATGTTACTAGCCATTGGTTGTTTTTTTTCCAAACTTTTTATCTTTGCAATTGAGATGTATCTTATAATCGATGGCATCTTAGGTAAAATATGGTATTGTTTGTCCCCTGGAAATGCTATTCTGTGACATTTTAATGATGTTAGAACAGACTGGAAACAGTTTAGATGCTGAATGGTGATGAAATTGTGTTCATAGTCACAATATGGGCTTTGAACAAAATTATAGGTAAAGAGAAACTTTTTTTTCATTTATATAATATGTAATGGTGAACAAAGCAGATGCAGCTACAGCTCCCATAACCCTTCATCTCAGGGTTGTGAGTTTGAGCCCCACATAAGGTGTAGAGATTACAAAAAAAAAAAAAAAAAAGAAAACAGAACAAAAAAGAAAAGAGAAAAAAGTAAAAAGGAATAGATGAAATTAATAATTTAGTTTTATTTATCCCAATTTGCCCAAATATTATTTCTACAATCAATACTATTTAAATTGTTAATGAGGGATCCCTGGGTGGCGCAGTGGTTTGGCGCCTGCCTTTGGCCCAGGGCGCGATCCTGGAGACCCGGGGTCGAATCCCACGTCGGGCTCCCGGTGCATGGAGCCTGCTTCTCCCTCTGCCTGTGTCTCTGCCTCTCTCTCTCTCTGTGTGTGTGACTATCATAAATAAATAAAAATTAAAAAAAATAATTAAAAAAAAATAAATTGTTAATGAGATATTTTACTTTATTTTTCCTACTAAGTCTTTGAAATAGGCTGTGTATTTTATACTTCACAACACATCTCAATTCAGATTGGCCATATCGCAAGTGTTCCATTTAGCTGTATCACACAGCACAGCTCTAAAAGCAGAAATGAAGTTGGGTTTTTTTGTGTGTGATTTTTTTAAAAAGATTTATTTATTTTAGAGAAAGAGAGAGAGCAAGAACAGTTGGAAGGTAAGTGAGAGAGAGAGAATCCTCTAGCAGACTCCCCACTAGCACAGAGCCCAACACCAGGCTCAATCCAGGACCCTGAGATCATAACCTGAGCTGAAACCAAGAGCCAGATGCCCAATTGACCGTGCCACCTAGGTGCTCCAAGATGAACTTGGTCTTTAACCAATTTTTTGGCATGTTTTTGTAGCTACTTTTCTTGGGAGGGGGGATATTTTTATTTTTTTAAACATTTCTATTTTTTTTTTAAATTTTTATTTATTTATGATAGTCACAGAGAGAGAGAGAGGCAGAGACACAGGCAGAGGGAGAAGCAGGCTCCATGCACCGGGAGCCCGATGTGGGATTCGACCCCGGGTCTCCAGGATCGCGCCCTGGAGGGCCAAAGGCAGGCGCCAAACCGCTGCGCCACCCAGGGATCCCTATTTTTATTTTTTGAAGAGGTAAAATATACCAAATTTCAAAAGTACCAGGGTATTCAGTGAAAAATAAACCTCTCTTTAATCCTGTCCACTGCTTACCCACCTCCTGTAGGCAGCTGCTTTTAGTAATTCTGTGTATTTGCAAATATATCCATACATTCTTCTCCTTTGTTTTCTACACAAATAGTAGCACACTATACCTAGTTTGGCACTTTGGGTTTTTATTTTCAGTTAGTATATTTTGGAGATCTTTCCATAGCAATGTCTGCAGAGCTTCCTCATTCTCTTTAACAGCTGCATAATGGATACAGTATAGTTTATTCAACCTTTTGGTGGTCATTAAGATATTTGCAATCTTTTGCTATTATAAAGACTGCCACTATGAATAGTTGTGCAAATAAGTCACTTCATACTCAAAGGACTATATTTGTAGGATAAGTACCTAGAAATAGAATTACTGAATGTAATTATAAGAACTGCTAGAACTTAAAAAAAAAAAAAAAAAAAAAAGAACTGCTAGAACTTATGCTTCCTATACATATTTCCATTTTGCTCACCATTGTACCCCAGAACCTATGATAACACTTGGCATATTCTAGACATCCAGTGCATATTCATTGAATGAATTTATGAAGTAAGACGTGAGGTCCATTTTGCATTCTTTCAGCAGTTATTAACTCAATGGTACTTTTTATGCTTTTCTGTTTGTTTTTAAAAGATTTTATTTATTTATTTGAGAGAGAGAAAGAGAGAGAAAGAGTGAGAGAGCACAAGCAGGGGGAGGGGCAGAGGGCGAGGGAGATGCAGGCTCCCTGCAGAGCAGGGAGCCCCACCTGGGGCTCAATCCCAGGACCCTGGGATCATGACCTGAGCGTAGGCAGATGCTTAACTGACTGAGGCACCCAGGCGCCCCTAAACGGTACCTTTTGGATCTGATGCTTGTTTTATTACTCTGAGCACTGCTTTTCCCAGGATGTCTGACCACTCCCTCTGTCCCTTGGTTTCCCTCCGTCTACACATCCCTTCCCCACTTGACGTGGGGGCAAAACAAAGTTGGGGAAATTACATTACTATTTAGGGCAGACCTTTTTTTTTTTTTTTAAGGACATTATTGGAAGAGGGGATAGGAGAAAGGGGAGAGGGGAGAGGGAGAGAGCGCATGCGCAAGCGCACCTGCGGATCCGGGCTCCTGGGGCTCCATCCCGGCGCCCTGAGGTCCAGACCTGAGCCGCCGCCCTCAGACACTTAACCCACTGGGCCATCCAGGCCTTTAGGGGAGATTTTTTTTTTTTTAAGACAAAAAGTATTAGGGCTAGAGATCGTCCTCACTCAATGGTCAAAGTATCAACTCACCAGAAAGAAATGCTCCATTTACACGCATTTTTTTAAAAAAAGATTTTACTTATTTATTCACGAGAGATAGAGAGAGAGAGAGGCAGAGACACAGGCAGAGGGAGAAGCAGGCTCCATGCACCGGGAGCCCGACGTGGGATTCGATCCCGGGTCTCCAGGATCGCGCCCTGGGCCAAAGGCAGGCGCCAAACCGCGGCGCCACCCAGGGATCCCAACGAGGCGGTTTAGATGTAGAAATTGTTTGTGGGAAAGTCAGGGAGAGATGTTCAGTTCTAGATATTTTGTCTGACAGTGGCACTCTCTTTCATGTGTTTTTTTTTTTTTTTTTTTTTTTTTGCTTATGATAGTCACAGAGAGAGAGAGGCAGAGACACAGGCAGAGGGAGAAGCAGGCTCCATGCAGGGAGCCCGATGTGGGATTCGATCCCGGGTCTCCAGGGTCATGACCTGGGTCAAAGGCAGGCGCTCAACTGCTGAGCCACCCAGGGATCCCCAACTTGCACGCATTTAATAAAGTGGCCTCAAACTATAAATGGAACAATCACAGAGTTACAGGGAGGAAAAAAAAAAGAGAGAGAGAGAGAGAGATCTATCATCATAGCAGATCCAACACTCTTTTCGTTACTGATGGTCCCTATAGGCCAGTGCGTCCGGCCCATAAAGGTGAGCGCACACCAAGGGTCAGGGGGCGGGGTGGCCAGGTGTCCCGACAGGTGCTCAGAATGCAGGCGTGGGAAAAGCCCGAAGGGGGCACCTAGGAAGACGGCTCACCTACACGCCCAGCAAACCCGAATTGCGCGGAAAGCTCGCGGAAAGCACGCGGGTGTTTCTTTTGCAGAAAGCAATCCACAACACGTGCAGGTCGTAGCCCTCGAGGCACACACGGAGGGAGCGGGCGGGGGGGGGGCGGGGACAGCCGCAGCCGGGGCCGAGAAAAATCGAAGTTATTGGGCTTATCGAACAATTCCTTGCGTGCAAAAATCCCCCTAATTACCACCCACTGCAGATCTTCGGAGTCACGAGGGGCCTCAAGAACAAATTTATTTATTTATCTTTTTAAAGGCCATTCAGGCCCTTAAACATCGCTTAAGACTTCGCGACGGCTCAAGGGCGCGGGGACACCACGAGGCGGACGGAGGCAGGTGCCCGAGGATTTGCGCTCAGGCGGCGAGGACAGCCCCGCGCAGCCGGCGGGGTCCTCGGGCAGCCGCGCAGCCGCTCCTTGCTGCAGGCGGGAGCGCGGTCAGCTATGCCGCTGCCCGCGAGGGCCCCGGCGGGAGCTTTCTGCGCAGGCGCGCGCCGCCTAAATCCGCCGCGGAGCGCGCCCGAGTTCTCTTTCCGGTCTCAGTCATGGTGAGTGAGGTGGTGCCGCGCGGCGCTGCCGGGGCGGTGTGGCTGCCGCGGGCCGCGCGGCCGGTCCCTGACTGAGGGTGGTTGAGCGAGTGTCGGGGAGCGGTCGGGGGAGGCGCGGGCCTTGGAACTTGCTTTTTTTTTTTTTTTTTTCTTTTTTCTGGGCACAGGGAGGGTGAAGTATTACTCAGCGATTCCTGCGGACCTCGCGGCCTCTAATTTTATCTAGGCTTCCTCCTAACAGGCAGGCCTCAAGATTCGCCGGCCCGATTTCTTAACTCAAAAAAAAAAGAAGAAAAAAAAAAAAAAGAAAAGAACAGCCTTGGGCAGTCGGTGCTGCTGCTCTTTTTTTATTTTTTAATTTTTTAATTAAAAATTTTTTTTCCTATGTGTTTGTGGGCTCAGAATCTACAGAGTCCTCACCGGTACGGTCTTTGAAGATGCGGTAAATTTTATCTTATTTATTATTTTTAAATTTTATTATTATTACTTTTTTTTATTCATGACACACACACACACAGAGACACACAGGCAGAGGGAGAAGCAGGCCCCACGCAGGGAGCCCAACGTGGAACTCGATCCCAGGACCCCAGGGGTCACGACCTGGGTCGAAGGCAGGTGCTCAACCGCTGAGCCACCCGGGCGTCCCCGTGCAGTACATTTTAAACGGGATCCGATGGCAATCCCCCAGATTCTCTTTTCTCGGTGGTCGTCATGATGCACTTGCAGGGAGTGAACTGCTGCCTCTATCACAGGGAGCTAGGATGAGAAGTGAGCGGGCGGCCGCAGAGCAGCAGCCTGGTTTCCGGGAAGGCTTGTTGCACACGAAGAAATGAAGACTAAAAGCTGGGGGCGAGGAGGCCCGAGGAGCTTGAGCATGAACCGAATAGGCGAGGATCCGTAGAACGGTCCCCAGAGAACTGGACTGTAAATCCTGGGCTGGCCACGATCTGATTGTAGGGTTGCCACTTGGTGCGGCGTGCAAGCTTTTAGGTCGTCCTCAACTGGGAAGCTCGGACGTCCTTTTTGGTGTGTGTTGATTTTACTAGGACTCTTTTTTTTTTTTTTTTTTTGAATTACTATTTATGATAGTCACACACAGAGAGGCAGAGACACAGGCAGAGGGAGAAGCAGGCTCCATGCACCGGAAGCCCAACGTGGGATTCGATCCCTGGTCTCCAGGATCGCGCCCTGGGCCAAAGGCAGGCGCTAAACCGCTGCGCCACCCAGGGATCCCCCACTAGGACTCTTAAGTGAGAGAGAAGCAGCCGCAGAGGAGGGTGAAAATGGTCTTGGGTCGATGATGAGCTGGCATGTATTCTGAATCTGCAGTTGGTGATTACTCCTTCAGCTCTAGAATTACTCTGAGACCTGAGAAATACCCGAATCTTTGCAGGAGCTTCAGGGCTCAGGTTGCTTCGAGGCAGATGAGGTGCCGGCTTTTCAAACAGAAAATTGGTTGGCGTGTGGCAAGATGGGATCCGAGTGAAAAAAGTTATGATGTGTATTGGGTATGTGCACTGGGGTCAGGCATTAAAAGAGGAAAAGTTATTAAGTCCCTGCTTTTTATTTGGAAAGGGCACACCGCAGAAGGATGTTATCATCAAGTCGGATGCACCTGACACGCTGCTGTTAGAGAAGCATGCGGATTATATCGCGTCCTATGGCTCCAAGAAAGATGATTATGTACGTATGAGTTCATGTTGAAAGTTTATTTTGAAGAAGTGAGTGCACGAACAGTAAGTAGGTCTGTATGTGTGGCCCATGGTTTTTTTTTTTTTTTTAAGATTTTATTTATCTATTCATGAGAGGCAGAGAAGCAGGCTCCATGCGGGGAGCCCTACGTGAGACTTGATCCTGGGTCCCCATCCAGGATCAGACCCTGGGCCGAAGGCAGCACTAAACCGCTGAGCTACCCAGGCTGCCCTACGGTCCATGTGTTGTTGTTGTTGTTGTTGTTGTTTTTTAAACTAACTCTTGCTTGCCAAGGACTGAAGATCCTTCAAGTGCAGTGCTTGTAGCTTTGGCCACCTGGGGTTGAGGGTTTATCAGAATTAGCCATGGATCCTAGAGGCTTTGCAAGACAGAGTAGATTCCCCATCTGCCCAGATTCTTAAAAGAGGTTTGAGCTACAGAAGAGGCCTGTACTTTTGTAGGTAGCTGAGGTATTACTTGCAAGGTCAGTGATGTGTTGGCATGTATTACCTGACTAAACGGCTGATGTGTGATAACACAAGCTCTAGAATTACGCTGAGACCTTGAAAAAGTTTTACCCTCAGTTCAAACTTCTTCTCTGGGACATTCTTAGAAAAAAAGTAATGAAGCTGAAAGTCAGTATTTTTCCTTGTAGTATCTAAACAACTGGGTTAATTTACCATGTTGGGAAACCTCTGGTATTGATGAATTTGTGACTTGTTGAATTCCCATAACCTTGATGGAGTTGTTAGGACCATGTTTGTTTTTTCCCTGGATGTTTAGTTAAAGGGTTAAGTCTTGACCTATCCCTGCCTTTTTTATCTAGTGCTCACCAGCTGATTGACTAAACCGAGAATATGGGTTCACAGCAAACTATTGAGACTATTCACCTGATTGAAAACCTTAACATGGGACTAGCAAAAATTTATTTCTGGACTAGTCTCTGTATCCGTTTTTATGTCTGACTTCTGCATACCATGGCCATTTTGGTTTTCAAGAGGTTGTATGATTACTAATAGGTAGTAGATGAGGCTGTGTCCATAGTCCATATATTAGTAGGATGGATGTCTAATAATATGATGTGGATACTCTGAAAGAAAATACTTTCTCCCCAAACTTGAGAAAAGTTGGTATATTTTTGACTTCTACTTCTGGTTGGCTCTTAGGAATTAAAGTCCTATTTGTCTGGTCATTGACAGATGTGTTTATTATCTGCATCTCTGATACTACTCCCCATATCCCCAAATTTGAGAGACACAAATTTAGAATAAATACTGATGTTAGGATCAATTGAATTAAACAGTGTGGCTAGTTTTATGTGTTTTATCACTTTGACCCTGCATCGATTCAAACTGGCACATTGAAGTAATTGTGTATTTCAGGAATACTGTATGTCTGAATATTTGAGAATGAGTGGGATCTATTGGGGTCTGACTGTGATGGATCTGATGGGACAACTACATCGGATGAATAGAGAAGAAATTCTGACCTTCATTAAGTCATGTCAACATGAGTGTGGTGGAATAAGTGCTAGTATTGGACATGACCCCCATCTTTTGTACACTCTAAGTGCTGTCCAGGTAAATACTTCCTAAGATTTAGCAGTCTTGCTGTATTCTCATACCTGAGAATGGAGAAATTGAATTGTGTATTAGTAACGTGACAAAATTAATGTCAAAAAGTTTACCTAATCTTTTCAAACAAAGCCTGTATTCTACAAGGTCAATGATGTGATGGCATGTATTAGCTGAATCCAAAGTTGATGTCAATTGTAAGATTACACTGAGACCTTGAATGGTAAAATGTTTATTTTCAGTATATATAAATAATTTGAAAATCACCAAGTGGAGTTAAATGTTTTAATTTTGATAATAGTGAAGATCCAGAATTATGTATGTTTGTTTCTTTTAAGAATGCTTTTTTTTTTTTTTTTTTTAAAGATTTTATTTATTCATGAGAGACAGGCAGGGACACAAGCACCAGGCTCCATGTAGGGAGACTGACGTGAGACTCCATCCCGGGTCTCGAGGATCAGGCCCTTGGGTTGAAGGCAGCGCTAAACCGCTGAGACACCCGGGCTGCCCCAGAATTATGGTTTTAAAGTCTACTTCAGTACCTGTAAGTTAGTAAAATATAAAAGCATTGCAAACGATGCTAAGTTACAATTTATATGTAGGAAATAAATGATTTATGTTACTGGTTTGGGTTGATACTGTGGCAAAGTAGAAAGTCTGCACGTTTCTAAAAAGTTCATAGTATGAACAAAGTTACGCTTGAAGATTGAAAAGGTAGTTGAAAATCAGAACAAACTTAGCACTGTTGACGTATTTACTTATTTTTTTTATTACAGATTCTTACTCTGTATGATAGTATTAATGTTATTGATGTAAATAAAGTTGTGGAATATGTTCAGAGTCTACAGAAAGAAGACGGTTCTTTTGCTGGAGATATATGGGGTAATGTCCATCTAATCCATGCTACTCAGAATACCAATATTAGAATCTCTGTTTTGGTGTTTATTGGTGTGATAAGGGTTGTTGGAAGTTTTTAAGGAGGCTTTGCTAATAATTATAAGGAGATTTTTAAGTTTTTGATCTTTTCAGGTCCCACTAAGCAGCTGGTCTTACTGAAGTTAAATGGTCTGCTGGAAGTTCCAGCATGCACTGTGCTAGTTATATCAGCATACAGGAGAACTGGAACAGAGGGGGCCAGTCTAAGAGATGAGGTAGGTGAAATTTTTTCCCCCAATATTTGGTGGCTTTGTAAAGTTTTTTTTTTCTTTTCTTTCTTTCTTTTTTTTTTTTTTTACACAAACTACTGACAAGGGAGAAATACTCAAAAAACTTTACAAACTTACTAGATATTTGAGTGGAGGGAGGGAATAGTACTATACTTGATAAATGTAGATAATCTCTGCTTTAGGGCTGAATACAGTGCAGGCCGGAGAGACCAGCTGCTTCATGGGATGTGAAAATCTACTTTTATGTAATAGGGTAAGTTTATTGTCCTCTTAGAAATTGAATAGTCCTTTTGGTTCTGTGTTATTTTCCCTTTTGGATGCTCTAAGCAACTTAAGATAATTTGCTGTATTTTTGACAATTTTCTAGTTCTTGATTTTCTTAGAAGTCATTTACTTGTGATTTCGCTTTCCTCCTGGCGATTTAAAAGTAAATGTTAAGCTTGAACTCTTGGAAGTTTAACCATGGTAGTTGTACAGTTTGTTTTTAGTTAACTGGCATTATGTACTAATACTAAGATCAGATACCTCTGGGAGCACTTAGTTTTCATTTGATTCCTTTTTCTTTTAGGAGAAATAGATACAAGATTCTCTTTTTGTGCGGTGGCAACCTTGGCTCTGTTGGTAAGTTTTGAATATTGTATTGGAATACTTAAAGTGCCTGTGATTATTTTGGAATTCAGTAGGCTTATTTTTTCTGTTTGTAGGGGAAGCTAGATGCTATTAATGTGGAAAAGGCAATTGAATTTGTTTTATCGTGTATGAACTTTGATGGTGGATTTGGTTGCAGGCCAGGTTCTGAATCCCACGCTGGGCAGGTAATTTATTAATGCAGATTAAAATATGTCAGTTTTGAAGGGATAAGTAGTGTGGTAAACTGGGAAAATACATTAAAAGCAGTTTGGGTGTCTGTTATATATGAATGAAGTTAATTAAAATTAACGTAACATGAGACGTTATGTAAGAATTGCTTAAATGCAGATAAAGGAAGGCATTTTTACAGTAGCATGTTTTATATACCTGTTGGTGGAAGCTTTTGGCCCAGGCAAACCTAAGTAGATTTGTTACCATGAAAGATAACATTTTTTGGGATGTCCAGGTGGTTCAGCTGTTGAGCACCTGCCTTTGGCTCCGCATGATCCCAGGGTCCCGGATCGAGTCCTACATTGGGCTCCCTGCGTGGAGCCTGCCTCTACCTGTGTATCTGGCTCTCTCTTCTCTCTGTGTTTCTCATGAATAAATAAAATCTTTTAGAAAAGAGATGTTTTTATTTTCCATTAGTCACTCCCTCGCCCTGCCCCCCCAAGTTTTATTTAAGTAATCTGTACATCCGACATAGGGCTCAAACTCAACAACTCTGGGATCAAGTTCTGTACTCCAACTGAGCCATCCAGATGTTCCTATTTTCCATTAGTTTTTTTTTTTTTTTTTTTTTAACAAAATTAAGTTTCCTCTATTGGCACTTGCTTGAAGATTATCAAAGGTCTCTACCATAGAGGACCATTAGTTTTTAAGTAGATGGAACATTCTGTTCCCTACCTATCCTGAACACTTATTTGCTTATGCTAGAGAGATAAATAGTATTTGTACTATTCTATATTGTATATGTAAAAGGTAAAATAAAATTTGCTTTAAGAGCCACCTGGCTGGCACTGTAAGTAGAGCATGAGACTCTTGATCTTGAAGTTGCAAATTCAAGGCTCCATGTAGGGTGTGGAGAGATTACTTAAAAAAAAAAACAAACAAAAAAAAAACAAAAAACTTTTTTTTTAAGATTTTATTTATTTGACAGAGCAGGAGCAGGGGGACCCTGACTTGGGGCTTGATCCCAGGACTCTAGGATCATGACCCGAGCTAAAGGCAGGCAGACATTTACCGACTGAGCCACCCAGGCGCCCCGGAAACCTTTTTAAAAAACTTTGCTTTTAGCCATGAGGAAATGTTGACAGTAGAATTTCATTGCAGATTTGGATCCTAGAATTAGTATGTTTGGATTTGTTCAGATAGTTATGTTTGTAATTCTGACTTGTTAATAGCAGATTTTTAGACATAGAATGGCATTTTAATTGAGTAGTTTTTATCACTATTACAATTGAAAAATTATTATACACATATACTTTATGTCTGTAATTTTAGATCTATTGTTGCACAGGATTTCTGGCTATTACTAGCCAGTTGCATCAAGTAAATTCTGATTTACTCGGTTGGTGGCTTTGTGAACGACAGTTACCATCAGGTGGACTCAATGGAAGGCCCGAGAAGGTATTGTTTCATAAGATACACTGTGTTCTAATAGCTTTATAATTCCAATAGCTTCTTGTAAACTGATAATGTGCTTTTGCCCCTCCCCTCATTGCAATTTTTCAGTTGTACTTCCTAAAAAATGCCCTGGGCGAAAGTAATACAACTAGAGTGGAGATACTTAAAAGACTCTTGAGGCAAAGATGGGTTTGCTACCTTCTGATAGCTCTTTTTATGACAAAGCTGTCTTCTAATCTTCCTGTCCTGAAGTAGCATCTGGAGTTATCTGAAGGAAAACCAAAAAAATGGCAAATGCTCTTAGCTTTATTTATATTTGTATTCAGACATAGTTTGAATTTTTAAAGTTTATAAAAATTTGCCACTGTGTGAAGAAGGCTTGGGAGTCTGCAGAAGTGGTGGTGCCCACTGTCTTTGCCTCTGAGCTCAAAAGATTTGGGGCCATGGCTGCTCCCTTTCTACCCTAAGCTGGAGAAGCCCTGGTGGGACAGTATATATTTCAACTGGGAACTACTTTCTAGTCTGGGCTACTGAGCCGGACCTGCTCTCAACACAGCCACTCATCTAGAGCTCAGAACACTTTGGAAACAGATTTAGACCTTTCTGCGTAGGAGCCATCATCCACCAGCCAGAAGTCTCAGTCAGCCTCCAGAGAACAGGGCACTACAGAACACTGGACAGCTACCTGCCGTGGCTGGCTCTTAGCCACATCCATCCAGCTCTGGACACACCCCAGAGCAGAGATGGAGATCTATGGTGGTGGGCACTTCCAGAATGATGCTGTCCTCCCTACCCCACCCTGGATACATGCTACTTTTGAACCATGAACCATGACCATATGGACTTAGGAAAGCTGAAGGATCAGCCTGGGAACTTGTTTCTTCGTTTAGTCCCTAATAAGACAATAAATGTTTTTAGAGGCCTTAAAAAAAATGAAACGGAGCTATTTCTTTGAACATTTAGTTCTAGACCTATACCAGGAAGAAATCAGTCCTACATTAAAAGCTTTATTTACATTTGGGACCCCAAAAGTACTATTGAATGAACACATGTATCTTGTACAGAAATCTCCATGTCTCCTCATGGATGTGAAAGGACAATTTACCAAATCAATGATTTTTTAAAAATTATGTCACAAAATTTTTATTTAAAATGCTTACTAAGTTTTTTTAGAAAAACCCAATTTTGACACTTTGATTTGGAGAAAAGGAAATTAAACCTTCCTTTCCAAGTCTGCAGTTCTCTTTAGCTCTCACATATTAATGTTCTAAATTGGGTCTGTAAAAGGCCAGGTAGTAAATGTTTTCAGCTCTGTAGAACATAGTATCTTGTTGGCAAGTACATAACTATCCTGAAGAGCAGATGGTGCCATAGACCATAAGAAACCAGTGAGCATACCTGTGTTTCAGTAAAATTATATGGATACATTTGAATTTCTTACGATTTTCCTATTACAAGACTGTGGTGGTGTTTTTTTAAGACTTTGTATTTTTAAAAAGCCACTTAAACCTATAAAGAAACTTTTGGTTGTAGTCTAGGTTTGACTCCAGGGCTGTATCCTGCTGGATCCTTGGCCAAGAATATGATATGGCATGGTGGTGCTTTTATCTGGGATTGTATTTTTGTTTTAGCTTTGCTTGCTTAATGTAATAGCCACAGGTAGTTTTCTAGCTAGTTAAGGTCCAATGAAAAACCTGGGCAACTTTCGACACTTAGAAAATGGATCAGAAAAAAAAAAAAAAGAAAAGAAAATGGATCAGGTTTGGGATTGCCAGGAATCTACACTTAGGTAGGACAACTTTTAATGTGCCTGTGAATCACACATTGATTTTTTTTTTTTTTTTTTAAGATTTTATTTATTTACTCAAGAGACAGACAGGCACAGGCAGAAGGTTAAGCAGGACCCATGCAGGGAGCCCAACGAAGCGGGACTCAATCCCAGGTCTACCAGGACCACACCCTCGGCCGAAGGCGGTGTTAAACCACTGAGCCACCCGGGCTGCCCTCACCCATTGATTTTGTTGAAATGATTCTTGAATCAAAAATGAGATACTCTGCAACTTTAAACTCAAGTGACCCATGTTTTGAGGAGCCAAGCTTTAGATTATTTTTAAGAAAGTATATGCCTGTCTGGACAGCACTTGTTGAAAATGCTCTGCTTAGGGAAACAATATATGTCACCATGGATTTCATGAGTTTTAACCACCAGTTTCTTGGTTTCATTGCAGGTACAATGTATAGGGAGCGTTGTCACTGAGTACCTAAACTATGGAACATTTAGCATAGATGTGGATTGAAATGTTTGGTCTTTTTTCCAGTGATTATCTTTAATTCTGAGTAATTGTATTCATGGATTTTAGCATCTTGAACTGCATGTCAGTATATCCCTAATCACCACCACCACCCCATGTTTGGAATAGAAACTAAAATGGTGGCAACTGTGGTTTTTTGTCTTCTAGTTACCAGATGTCTGCTATTCGTGGTGGGTGTTGGCTTCCCTAAAGATAATTGGAAGGCTTCATTGGATTGATAGAGAGAAACTGCGAAGTTTCATTTTAGCATGTCAAGATGAAGAAACAGGAGGATTTGCAGACCGACCAGGAGACATGGCAAGTATAATTCTGACATGTTCATATAATAGTTATGTTGGTTTAAGTTACTTTTCTGGCATTTACAGACTTAGAAATGGTTGATAAAGTATTGCTTAAAAAAGCGGGATACTTTTCTGTTAATTTTTATTGGAGAATATAAGGGTATAAAACAAGTTCATAGAAATTGTCAAAAAGAGTATGGTAAAGGTTCTGTATTTAAAAAAAACAATTTAAAGCCATCATTTTTATTTCAGAAAATTTTAAGCAATTATTTAAGTAAAAATATAATGGAACCCAATATAATTTGTTCAGAAGTAGGGTTTTAGAAGTTTTCGTTTTTGTAATCCTCTATAAATTCTTATTTTTTAAATAGGTAGATCCTTTTCATACTTTATTTGGAATTGCTGGATTGTCACTTTTGGGAGAAGAACAGATTAAGCCTGTTAGTCCTGTTTTTTGCATGCCTGAAGAAGTGCTTCGGAGAGTCAATGTTCAGCCTGAACTAGTGAGCTAGACATTGATGGAGATAAGAGATAATGCTTAGTATAGTTTTGCCATCTTAACATTTCTGTAAAGTGCTTATCAAATTTAATGACTACTGTGTCACTATTTTGTATATGAATTGTATTAATTTTAATAAATTATGTAATTATACATACTGTAAAATAAAGATCTTTATCTTCAGCTTTAGATTTTTTCTGCAATGCTGTTATCCTGAGTACAGTATTTTGTTTCTGCTTAAGTGTATTTATTTGTATGTTTCCTTAACAGCAAACTATTGACTTAAAGTTTAAGTCCTGTGTTCTACTTGATTTTCCCATGTGCTTCTTTCATGTCGTACAATAATGGTTAATGTAAATTGACCTATATCAATGAGAATGTTAACTGGTAAAAATGATAAACCTATCCATATATGAATTAAAAGATTCACCAGAATAAATGGCTGTTGAAATTTGGGACTGTTTCATAAGTTAATGGTTACTCTGAACTGATCACTAATTTAATGATTCATTTCACCATCTTAGAATAGGACTTCAGTCTAGACTACATTTCTTGTTTTTAAAAAATGTTTTATATTAGAATGTACCAGTTAAGTATCGAGGGAATTGTTAGCCTTTAAGGAAATAGGAGTTGATAGTTTTCCACAACATTGTTTGAGTCTTTTTTCCAAAAGACTAAAATGAGTAGAAGTATTCTGAGAGTTTTACATTCTTTGGTGAAAATAAAGTAGTTCAGTGAACATTTTCCTGGAAATAGAAGCCGAAATTTTCTCAAGTGTGTTGGCAATGACTCTAGTAGTTTTAAGGATGATTAGTGGGGCTCCTGGCTGGCTTAGTTGGTAGTCCTGCCTCTATTGGTCTTGGGGTGGTTAATTCAAACCCCACAGGAAGGGTAGAGTTCACTTGGACATCACTCACCAAGATCAATTTTAACATTGTTGAGAGATGCTTACGTGAGATTCTTGAAATGTCTACCATTGTTTTGATAGTTCACTGATTTAAAGAGTTTAGGGTGAATTGCACTATTTCTGAAAGTTTGGAATTGGATGATGGAACATAACCTTATTTTTATTTTTAGAGATCTTATTTATCAGAGGGTGCACAAGCAGGGGGAGCAGCAGGTGGAGGGAGGGAGAGGGAGCAGCAGGCTTCCCAAGGAGCAGTGAGCCGGATGCAGCATGGGCTCTACTGGAGGTCATGACAGGAGCTGAAGGCTGATGCTTGACTGAGCCACCCAGGTGCCCTGAACATAATCTTATTTAAATGGTATTTGAATTTTTTGAAGGTGTTTTGAGGAATCCAGTCATCATGTAGGAATCCAGTCACCATGCTCTTCTAGACACCTCCTATATTGAGAATTTAGCGATTGCATGAATTCAGGTCTTAAATTGAAGTAGGGTTGATATGTATTGTACAGTATAGTACTTATTTTCTCAGTCCCAGCTTTTCTGAAGTTGGTATTATCCATACTCAAGACAAGTAGGCAGAACTTAATTTCCTGAAGGTCCTTTGTTGCAGAGTTTGGATTTGTATAGTCTCTTCCTAATTAATTTGTGCCTGCAACATGAGAAATTGGGATCTGAGAGCGATCTCCGTTCTTGACTTGGTCCTTAGGGTGCTGTGCATACAGCCCTATGCTTAATGGGCAAATACCTTGTCATAACCGCCTTGTTGATGTTTAAGCTGTAGGAGGCTAATGGCTCCTTTCTGTGTTTCCCGTAAGAGCAACTGTTAAGTGAGCGGAACACTGAATTTGTTTACACCGTCATTGGCCATTGGCGTTGGGTGTCCAGTGATGGACAGCGCGTAAATTTAAGAAAGCAGCTTAGTGTGTTTGGGGGCGTGTGGGAAATACTAAAAGCACCAAACACTTTTGGTAAAATACAGTGCTGTGGGAATAACTGGTGTACCACGTTGGATGGTCCTTGATGGGCTCTGAAGAATTCCACTCAGGTGACCTTGGAGATTGAGGAGAGCGATGTCAGATGACAGCTGACTGCCGCGGGGGTGCGGGCTGTGAGGGGCGGGGCCCGGGCGGGGGGCAGGGGGCGGGGCCCGGGCGGGGGGCGGGGCGACGCTGGCCCCCGCTGCGCCTGCGCGCCGGGCTCTGCCGGCTCTGCGGCTGCGCACTGCGTTCCCGCCCTTTCGCGGCGACGCCCGCGCGGCCGCTGAGGGCGAGGGCTCGGGCGAGGGCTCGCGGGCGCGCTCCGACATGTCGGGCCTCTGCCCGGGCAGCTTGGTGCGGATGCTGAGGCCCGAGGGCTCCTCAGCCTCGCCGTCGGGCCCCGCGGCTTCCCCGGCCCTGGGCGGCGCGGGGCCCCCGGGAGCTGGCCCCGACGGTGGCGCGGTGGGCGCCGGGAGACCCCTCGGAGCCGCCCCTGCGCGCGGGCCTGGTCCTCGTCCTCGCCCCCGGGCCCGAGCAGCAGCTCCCGCGGCCCCGGCCCGTGTCGCCCGCAGCCAGCGCAAGGCGAGGAGCGCGGGGGGGGGTTGTTCCGGGCGGGCGGCGGGGGCGGGCGGCGGGGGGCGGGGGGAGGGGCGGGCGGCGGGGGCGGCAGGACGCGTGAGCGCGCCTCTCGGCCCCTGAACGTACGTCAGGCCTCCGTCCTCCCGCGCGGCTCGGCTGGCTCCTTGGAGTTGGGACTCCGGGCCGGGGACGCGCCCCTGTGCCCACGCGCGGCGCGGGGCGAGGAGGTGACGGGCCGCGCCGCCGTTGGCTTCCAGGTCGCCCGTGTCCTCGCTGTTCCCGCGGCTCCGGGCTTCCCGAACGCTGCTCCGCCCTGTTCCTCTCTTAGCCTCCAGAGACCTGCCCTGCGCGCCTGTAGCCCTTCCCAAGTTGCGGTTTGGCCTTAGAGATGAGTTTCTTTCTCTAGGCCACTTGGGGGTTGTGACCGGCGCTCTGACCCCCAGGCGCCAGATTCCTACTTCGCGCTCTCCTCAGACCCGTCGCGGGAGGCCGGTGCGCACCTGGTTACGGAACGAGTGAATCCAGCCCTCCAGTCCCTCAACCGGGTTCTTTTCCTTCACCACCGCGTCGCCTGAGTCTTAGAGACCTCTAAGACTTCAACATTAACTCACAACAGCCAGCCGGTTAAGAAGTCCTATCTTTATCTTTTATTGTTTTTATTTTTAAGGATTTTATTTATTTATTCATGAGACACAGAGAGAGGGACAGAGGCAGGCTCCGTGCGGGGAGCCCGACGCGGGACTCGATCCCGGGTCTCCAGGATCACACCCTGGGCTGAAGGCGGGCTAAACCTCTGAGCCACCTGGGTGTCCCCCATCTTTTTATTTTATTTATTTTATTTTATTTTTATTTATTTTTATTTTATTTTTTTCTTATTCATGAGACACACACACACACACACACACGCAGAGACGCAGAGACACAGAGGGAGAAGCAGGCTCCATGCAGGGAGCCGGATGTGGGACTCGATGCTGGGTCTCCAGGATCAGGCCCTGGGCTGAAGGCAGCACTCAACCGCTGAGCCTCACCCAGGCTGCCCATCTTTATCTTTTAAATAATTATTTTCCCCTTGTGTCTGTACCATTATAGGCTCTCATTGTTTTATGTGTGAATTATTGCATCAAATTCTGGCTTTGGTGACTGGCCGGTTGGTAGTACTATTTCCAGATAAAGTGGGTTTTGTAAGAGAGGCAACTTTTAGAGGGAAAATGAGTTGTGTACGGACACATTCAATGTGAAGAACCTCTAGGATATCCATGGGGTCACGCTGAGGCAATTGAGTATATGGATCTTGGATTAAGAAGAGAAACTTAGGAGAAATTCAGGTTTGGAAGTTACTCCTCTGTTTGAGGTTGGAAGGAAGAAGAGAAGATGCAGTTAAAGGAAGGTCAAGGAAATTGGAGGGCGAGTAAGATGAGTAAGTTTCCAGAAGGAGCTTAGAGTCTAAAAGTAACCTGAGAACAAGAAAACAACCCTTTCTGTCCCTAGTTCCTGGTAACCACTCTCTTCCGTTGTACCTTTATGTCTACATAATGGAGCACACTGTCCTGGTTCTATACACCTTCTTTACAATGATATCCTTACACCCAGTCCACACCTTTGCAAATCTTTTTTTTTAATTTTTTTTAGATTTTTATTTATTTATGATAGTCACAGGAGGAGAGAGAGAGAGGCAGAGACACAGGCAGAGGGAGAAGCAGGGTCCATGCACCGGGAGCCCGACGTGGGATTCGATCCCGGGTCTCCAGGATCGCGCCCTGGGCCAAAGGCAGGCGCCAAACCGCTGCGCCACCCAGGGATCCCCTGCAAATCTTTATCAGACTTCCTGGAGTATCTTTAGTTTGAATCTGTCATCCAGTTCCTGCTGGTACCTGAATAAAGGAGTTTGATTTTATCTCATGATGGGTATGGGGAGACACTGAGGAACGGTGAGAAAGAAAATTTCTTTTTCGGAAAAGATCACTGGTGATGATGGGAAGAATGGATTAGAGAGGCATAACACTAGAATCAAGGAGAACAATTGAGAGACTTGCAGGCCTGAAGAGGATAATGCGCTTAAAATGGGCTAATAGGAGTGGAGATGGAGGGAAATTTTAGTGGTATTAAAATTTTTTTTTTTAACTAGACTTCTAATTGGGTGTGAGGATTGATTAAAGAGTTAAGAATGATTCCTGACTTTAAAACTTAACTGACAATAGTAGGCCAGTACTGGTAATAAGTTTTGAGGGAAAGATGAGTTCATTTTTGAACATTTAAAAGTTTTGGAGAGAAATCTAAAAGCTTACATCCAAAAGATAGATTTAAGGACCTGGAGCCACACTGGTAGGATTTTCTGTGATGATAGAAATATTTCATATCTGCGCTAATATGGTAGCCATCAGCCAAACGTGGCTTTTGAGCATTTAAGATGTAGCTAGTGTGGTGAACAGAATTTTTAATTTTCGTTATTTTTTAATTTAACTTCAATAGTCTCGTGTGGTCGGTAGCTACTATATTAAACAACACAGGTACAGACTTAAGAATGGTTCTTGCATTTTTAAAGGGCTGAAAAAGTAAAAGAATGTTTTGCGACATGTGGCAATTATGTGAAATTCTGATTTCAGTGTCTGGACGTAAAGTTTTATTGAACCACAGCCATGCTGCTTATTCATGTACTATCGTCTGTGGCTGCTTTCTCAACATAGTGTCTGAGTTGAATAATTATGACAGACGATATGGCCCACAAAGCCTAAAATTTACCATCCAGCCCTTTATTAAAAAGTTTGCCAAACTGTGCTTTACAGTTTGAGAAGTTAGGGCTATATATGAGGGGTATAGATGACTAGAAGTAGATATTAATAGAAACCAATATAATAAATGAGATGCCCAGAAAGATGTATAATGCTAATTTGAGAAAAAAGGTGAAAAAGTGTGGAACCCTAGGAAGCCAACAGTTCAGAGTCAGACAGGAAAAAGAATCGGGCAAAGTGAACTAAAAGCAAATGGTTTAAGG